TTGGCAGGCTGAGGCAGGATGATCACTCAAGTTTGAGCTCAAGGCCAGGCAGGACTGCAAAATGAGAACTAGTCCCAAAAAAAAAAAAAAAAAAAAAAAAAAAAAACAAGTTTAAAAGAGGGGTCTACCCAGCTAGGGTATGGCGATAAAGGACTCTGGCTCCTTAGAGTGAGCCCTTCCCAGTCCTTGTCCTGGTCTGGGAAGTTCATATTTGTGATCCCATGGAAAAGTTATTGGAACCCTAGCCAGTTGGTTCCCATCTACCACTTCCAGGGCAGCCCATGGCGAGAATAGAGACACCAAGGCATATTTGTAGTTGTGGGGAGCCAGGGGGGTCCCAAGTCCAGCCACGATGATGGCCATCTGGAACAAAGGCCTCGACCCAGGGCCAAACCTGGGTTTTATTAATTCATGAAGAAGGGAGTGGTTGAGGATGAGCGACTGTGAGAATGGCGGGAAGTAGGCGAGTGCTGTGAGCCGGGCTGGGCAGGAGGCCTGAAATCAGCTGTGCAATGCAGAGCGAAGGATCTGCAGGAGGAGTAATCTGCATAATGCAGCTGAGGTAGTATGCGATGTTTTGGGGTCGGTGCTTCAGCTCTGATGTGTGATCTTTTACGCCCTGGGAAGTCATAGGCTCTTATCTCGAGGCTTGATCCCAGCGAGCAGTGCGGAGCACGGCTCTCCATCCCGCCTTGCCCCGGCTCACATCTTTTGGGGAATACAAGGGCAGGGAAACACTCACCTGTCACCTTGCTTTGAAGACTACACATCAGCACCTCAGCTGGACCAGTTTGCATTGCTTAAAGCCAATTGGGGAGATAAGGAAAGTCCTAGCCAGCTCTGGACACATCAGTACGTAGAAAAAGGGCCAGGTTCAACCAAAACGGAGACGGTTGCTCCTCCTTCAGGGAGAGTGGCCCAGGTGGGCCGCCGCAGCTCCTTCGCTTCCTTCGGTGTCTGACTTCAAGGCCGCCTATTTCTGGATTCAATTTTCCCATCTAGAAAACAGACCTCGCGGGCACTGTGTTGAGGATTAAATCGGGGCACACCAAAGTAGCTTTGAATTTTGCTCCCGATACACAACAGCGAAGGAACGAAATGATTACACATACACAGATTCCCATCAATATGCTTCTTAAACCTCAGTGACATGATTCAATTAACTTTTAGCTGCTTACCCTGGGGAGGAGGCAGACCTTCCAGCGCGGAAGATGCCCAGGGGAGTTAAGCTGGCACCATCCTCCTAAATCAGCACGGAGAAGGAAGCAGTTGTCTGCAGAAGCCAGACAGGACGTCTTAAGAGACCCCTAGTGGGAGTCCCTCCCCACCGCCCACTCAATTCCTAGCCCATGCTGACTCAAAAAAATAATAATACATGCAGCAAGAAGCTGACCAAATACAACTATCTCTGGTGTTTATTTTTATGTTACCCTTCTCCGCCCATATAGACTAACTGTTTGTCCCATGTCCTGCCCCTAGTGATGTTTGTTGGAAGCACTTATTTGGGAAGACCATGTCCACAATACGGGACTGGCACCAGCTGTCTTTGCACCACCACTGCACAACTCCAGGAGGTGCTATCTGCATACGCTGAGAAGCAGATGGACCTCACTGCAGACACGCAGTACCATGAGCTCGCACACTTCCAAAGGCTGCCTGCACCCTCCCCACAAAGCCTAGCAGGTCTGCACACCAGGGGAAGACAGAACCTTTCTCTCTAGCCAGGGAAAGGGTGAATAAGGCCACTGTCCAGGTGTGATCCGAGTCACAGCTCAGTTCCCTCCTGAGGGATCTCAGAGATCATCTCGTCCACCCGTCCTGTGCAACTGATGAGGAAGACAGAGCACAGCTAAGCAGAGGGGGCTCCTAGGGGACAGGATGGACAGTGCACACCTATCACCCCAAGTACCCGGGAGGCTAAGGCAGGAGGAGCACAAATTAGAAGCCAGCTTGAGGGCCAGGAATGTAGCTCAGCGGCATAAGCACTTGCCTGGCAAGCCTGAGGTCATGAGTTCGATTCCCGGTACCAAAAAAAAAAAAAAAA